GTATAACTAGTTTTTAATTTTTTTTTTTTAATATTTTTAGTATTAGTAGTATTCTAAATAAAAAAAAAATTTAATTAGAACCAAATAATGCATTTGCATTAAAAAATCATAATGTGATTTATAGAATACTGAAATTTGATGAATAATTAAAGATTTAAATAAATAGAACCAGATAATACAAAATATATAAGTGTTATTTAAATATCGAACTTGTACAACAGAATGCTAGAATATTTTGTTATTTGGTATATATGTATATAATTCATGTCATTAGAAAAATGTAATCTAGTTTTTATCAATTGTACCAAAAATATATAATCAAAACCTTTAGGATAATTATATAATTTGAGTTATATATATATAAATTTTATTTTTTAATATGTATACTTTCTTTTGGCAGCACTTACTAATAACAAAAAAAATTATACTACTTCTGATTTTCTTTTATGAAATTGTTCTGAATTTTTTAAGATAATATAAACATATATTGTTTTTGCCAAATTATCAGGTTTTTTATATTCATTAACAAAACTTAAAAAATCCTCTCTATCATTTATGCTCATAGTTTGTCCTCAACTATTAACTTTATAAGTTATTTCATAATTATTATCATAAATAAATCAAAGATCTAAACATTTTTGTATATAACTATTTAAACTTGATTTAAATAAGTAAAAATTGTTAATTTCTTTTTCTTTAAAAGTCAACTACTTTTTTGTTAAGAAACTAGTTTTTTTTGTATCAATAACAACTGTTGTCTTTAATTCAGTCAAATAAGTTATTATTAGTTTTGTTGTTTTTGTAGACTTAAATAAATTATTAAACTTAGTATAAATAATGCAAAAGTATTAAAAACCTATAATGAAATTTATTAAATAATAAACACACATGAAAACCACTTACAGATCTAAGCAAATTATTATCATTGGACTCAAATGATGCAGAGATCATGAAGGAAAACTTATTGAATATCGATTGAGTTGCTTCTATTTCACTATTTTAATCAATTATATATTGATTAATTATATCTTGGTCAACTGTATCCTGGTTGATTGTATTCTGGTTAATTGTATTTTGATCAATTGTATCTTGGTCAGTTGTATCTTAGTTAATTAATTGTTTTGATTTATTTTTTCATCTTTACTTAAGCTAATTATATTTTTAACCTAATTATATCTCGAATTACATGTTGAACAAAGTGTTAAATTAAAATTTTTATCAAAATTACTATTATATTCAAAAAATTTGCTTCATTCTTTTAACCAAGCAACTTGACTAAATGAGTTATAAAAATTTTATAACATCAATTATGAGCTTTTTGTCCACATTCAGTTTGAAAAGTGTTATTATGAGATGGTTTTATTTTTAAATCACATAAACAGTTTTCATTTTTTAAATCCTTAAAACAAAAAAAACATTTTTGGCAATCTTAACAAGTGCCAATTTTATATTTACAATGTTTTGGTGAAGACATACTAATATTATAATAAAAGCTTCATAATAAATTTTAATTACTATATATAGTATCTCTATTTGGTATAAGGTTGGCAATAGAGTTCAATGAAGCTCAATAGAGCTGTAAAAAGAACTAATAATGCACTAAATAGAGCAAACAGATACTAATTTTTTAAGCTTCATTGGCTCTAATGCCAATCCTGATTTGGTATATACATTGTTTACAATAAACTACTAACAATTACTTTAAAAATTCACTTAGCCACTTTAGTATTTATGTGTATCTATGTATATTGCTAATAAAGAGAGTCTGTAAAATGGAAATATATTAATAAACAAGAAATAATCACTAATTGTTAAATGAATTTCACAGAATATGACAAATAAAGGATAGCTATCTATAGAATTTACATGATTCACTGGATTTACAGGATTTAGAAAAAATAATCTGCAAAATTGAATAATTCAACTAAATTAAAAACAGTGATAAACAAATATAAAAAATTTAAATAAACAAAAAATAATCAAATCAACACTTGTATAACTAGAATACAAGTAATAGTTTAGAAATTTTTAGAATTAAAGAGGTGTGATGATTTAGTAAAATAGACAGGTTGTCAATCTCCAAATAGCAGATCTAGTATTCATATCTCATAAATAGTGAAATTTGAAAATTATATTTGTGTTATGATAAATGTGTCTTGTTAATTGGTTAGATAGAAGTGATGATCTGTAATCTTAGAGACACTATCTTAAATGAGAGCTTAGAGCATCTATTTTAAGTATAATATTACATGTACATATAAGAATATTAATAACTGGTATTATATAAGACTTAAGAGCAAACTTATAATAAAACAACTAGATGTATAACACTAAGAAACTAAAACATGAAAACTACTTGAAAATTATAAGTAAAGAGATAGCATGAACTTTTGACAGTATTATCAGACTATTGAAAAACTTTAAAAAGTGATAACTAAATAGATCAGATGACAATATGTATAGAAAAGCATATACCAACTAGGTTGCTAGGAACTGCCAAAGAAAAAGAATCTTAGGATACTATATTGGGTCATTTGGATTAGTAGTTTGTAAAGTCTTGTAAGTTCAGAAATAAGGAGTAAAAGGTAGGAAAGAAAGGTATCAGGGTTCTAGTGAACTTTACAAAAGTATAGCAGTTTAATAGTTAGCTTTGACTAAAAGTGATAGTCTAGACCAAAGTGGTACTAGGTTAACTATAAGTATAAAATATAGAAAGCTCTAGTGAGCTTAGTACAAAGTTAAATATAACTTAGTGATATGGCATATTTGCAGTTAATCTGCAATTGATAAGACAGGTAGATACAGAAATTAGAGTGTTTAAATAGAAAACTCACAGGCAGGTTTTAGGTATGACAACTAGTATAAAATCTCTAAATGGACTACTTAAAATAGACAATAACTAAAGTTATATAAGTGGCTAGTTGTATACTAATAAACTTCTAGGTCACAAGTACTCATCGTAATATTAAAAAAAATAAAATTCTAGAATTAAAGTATTATAAATAGATAAAGCAACAACTAAAGACAAAGGTAATAATGATAGATCTTAAAAAGTTTTATAACTTAAATAAAAGAAAATCAGCAGAGAAGCTTGCTTGTTTAAGTAAACAAATAGAGCATATTATACAAATAGATAAAAGACATTGCAATTTCTTAGAGCCAAGTGATTTAGGCAAGTATATATTTTACAAGTCCTGATGGACAAGCATAGAGATATAGTTAAAAATTATTTTTAAAAAAAAATACAACAGTAAAAAAAAATATTTAGTTTATCAGATAGAAATAAATCATAGAAGCAATATGCAAGACATAATTTATAATAAAAAAGAGAAAGCTCAAAATAAAAAAACAAAAATAGAACTAAAACTACCAACAATGCAATCAACATTTCAAGAATCAATTACAAAAAAAAAGAATACAGATTTAGAGAAAGACAGAAATATTACAAAAAACAAATAAACAAGTATAAGAGAATAAAGCTTATCAAAATCAAACCAAAATGAAGCTAGAAGCATCAGTTATACAATTAATAGTTTAGAAAAACAGCTTTAAGCAAAAGCACTCTGAAGATAAATTAGAATTAGATAATAAAAAAGAAATAATAGGTCAAATAAGCAAGCAGAAGTAGTATTAAGAGTAGAATATATATAGATTATTTGTCATATAATTTGTGCAAAAATTTAGATTTACATAGTAAGCAAAAATACAGTGCTACAGTTATCTCTCTCTATAATTACCTTCTATATAATCACATAAGTTTGTATTATATTTTTTTTTATAATAAAAATACTTTTTTATAATCATATTATTATTTATAATTATTATCACATATTTTTCATTCATTAAAAATGTTTTTATATAGGACTTTCTCTTGATATCATCACTTTCTAAAAATGTATATAAATGTTTTTTTAATATTACACAAAATGTCTTTAGACATGCCTTCTAAAAAAGCAAAAACAGTTATTAATAACAAGTTAAAATATAATATTTGTGTCTATAATAACAAAAATCCTAACCTTTCATATAAAGAGATTGCAGAATACTTTCAAGAAACCTTTTAAGTTAATCTTGAACATTCTACAATATCTAAAATATTAAAAGAAAAAAAAATAGTTGGCAGTAATTGATAATGCAGATAGTGCTAAAATTTATCATCATAAACAAGTTAAATATCTGTTATTGGATTAAGCAATACAATTATAGATTGAACAGGTTACTAGTAATAAAATGTTTTTGTTTGAATTAATTATCAAAGAGAAAGCCAAGTTTTTTGTACAAATTTTGGGTATAATGACAGATTCACTTAAATTTTTAATAGTTGGATTCATTAGTTTAAAAAAAAAAAATTTACAAAATTATTATCTACATGATAAAGCTGGTTTTGCTTCTTTAGAAAATCTACCTGACTAATGAAATTTACTGCACAATATTATTCAAGAGTATACTCTTAATAATGTATTTAATGCAGATGTGACTGGGTCTTTTTTAGAATAGCACCTAACCAAACACTTGCATTAAAATTATGTTCAAGTTGAACAAAAGTAATACTTGTTTTAAATATAGTACAGTAACTTATTAAATTTACATAATTAGTTTATCTATCCAGGTTAGTTATTTTTTTTAAAAACAATGTTTTTTTTTAAAAAAAAAAAATTATGTCATGTATTTATATATATATATAAATAAGTAATTTTTTTTTTTAAAAAAAAAAAAATTTTTGTAATTTAAAATAAAAATCAGGTTTGAGTTATTTTTAAAACTTTATATTTTGAAAGTCAAGAAATTAACTTTTATAACTTTATTATTCTAAATTATTAGAATAAAACAAGAGTTTTTATTATGCTAGTATGTAATGCAATTGGGACACAAAAACTAAAACCACTTGTAATCAGATCCTCAATTCAATCTTGTTTGCTTGCATGCATTAATTATAATATTTTGCTAGTTACATACAGAGCCAATTCTTAAGCATGGATGCAATATGATCTTTTTAGTAAATGGTTAAAAATGCTAGATTATCAATTTCCTTTCAAAATAGAAATGTTTTAATTTTAGTTGATAATGCATCTTGTCATTATGATCTAAACAGTATTTTACCAACTTCTAATTCTAATAATAATAGTTATAAAAAAGAAACTGAATTAGCAAAAACATCTGTATCTAGAATTAGTAACATAAGACTGTTTACTTTATAAAATAATCAGAGTCAAGCTTGTAGTAGTCAAAGTCATCTCTATACAATTCCTAATCTTACTGGCTTCTAGTTAACTAATATTAAGCTTTATTTTCTTTCACTTAACACTACTGCATATCTTCAACTAATAGATGCTAACATTATCAAGTGTTTTAAATCAAAATACAAACAAAAATATATTCAACATCTTCTTACTTAGTTTGAACAAGGTGAAGATATACAAAAATAAGTTGAGAATATTAAGTGCTACAAATTAAAAACCTGAAACTGAATATATAAGTATTATATATTTGGTTTTAGGTTTTTAATTTGAAGCACTCAATATAAGTATAATGTTGTATATTAAATTAATATCTAAGTTAAATTAAAATACAGTCACATCTCTCTAAGTGCATTTACCTTAGGGTCATAGTAAAAAAAAAAGCAAAATGTGCACTTAGAGAGATTAAAATTTATAGTTATTATATTATTTGGGACCAAAAGGAAGTATGCACTTAGAAAGGTTTTTTATATACTATGCACTTAAGATGTATATACTTAGAGAGGTTTTTTATATACCATGCACTTAGGATGTATATACTTAGAAGATGTAACTGTAATTATAATCTTGTTAATAGTAATTCTACTGCATTACTACTTGCTGACATCTACTCTTACCTTAATATAAGCTCTTACCCTAACTTTAATAAAACTCTACAACATTTAAATTTTGATCTGACATAAATTTTAATAATGTACAATATTACTAAAGTATATTTACTATTTAATTAAAATAAAATTTTAGAAAAAAACTTACTATTAGAAATGCAATTTACTTTATTGCAGAGTCTTTGAATGAAGTTAGTAAAACAACAATAATGAATTGTTAGAAAAAACTGGAATCTTGCTTTCTATTAATTATGAAGAAATACAATATGCAACAAGCTCTTATAATACTTTTAGTAAACAAGAAAATAATAATATTGAGTTGTTAGTTGCTAATTTGAACTTATCAGTCCTGCCCCAGGTCTACAAGTATCTTGAACTTAATAATTTGTATATTCCTACTGTGGAAGAATTAAGTGATACTAAAATTGTTAAGTTAGTAATAGCAGAACAGCAGCATAAATAACATGATTTAGATAATTCAAATGAAGAGCTTTTAACAATTCTAGCTTTTGAAGAATTAGTGGATTTAAAAAAAATTTTGGAGTTTTTTGAGCAACAAACAGATCAAAATTTTAAATCAGAAGATTTAGATGTTTTTTGAAAATATTTATCTATAATGAGGCATAAAAATGTAGAATCAAAAAAGCAAAGTTCTATTATGGATATTTTATATTTGAAAAAACAAATTGAAAAGGTGGTATTAAAAAAATTCAGAACAATTATTTTTTGAATTATTTTTTGGTACATTTTTAATTTCTATTAATTTTTTTTTATTTATAGTATATATAATTCTTTATGTCTATTTTTGATAAGTCCTACTGTAATTGTCTACTTATTCATTTTGCTTAAATAGTTCTTTTATTACTATATCTATTTTTTATTTAACTATGCTATTAATTTTTGGTAAGTAACTATATATTTATAGCATCTAATTTGATTTATAATTATTTATTAAAATACACAATCAATCTTATACTAATTAGAAATAGTTCATCTATGCAATATACTTTTAGTAAGTTCAGATAATAATTCATATTTCTAACTTGGTTTATACTATACATACTGTATATATTCTTATTTTTTATTTATAAAGTATCAGTTCAGTATGCAAATAGTTTTTCATATTATTCATACTCAGTAAGTTTATCAACTCACTTATATTACATTATCTAACTCTATTCTTATTTATTTTATTTATTTTATTTATTATTTATTTTACTATACTGTATTTTTTTTTTAGTATATTAGTTCTTTATATCTACTCGCTTTAGTAAGTTTGCCCAATTCAATATTTATTATTTAATTAATTATTAATTTGTTTAAATGCCAAGTAACCCTAATTATTTTTAATATTGGTTCAATACTTTAGTAGTTTCTCTAATTATTAATTTTCTAGTATTTATACTTATTGTTGGCTCAGACTTTAATGACTGCTAAATAAAATATACATTTAATTAAAATGATTTTTAAATACACAAAATGTACTGTATGTGTTGCTTATTTTTAGTAAATTAAAATTTAATTCACATTCTTATTATTAAATGCTCATACAATTCTTTTTACTTATTCATAATTTTACAGGTCATACAATAGCTAATTTGGGTTACAAATAGTTTTTCATACTATTCATCTTTGGTAATTTAATTAATTTTTTTTATTTTACAGTATTTATATTTCTATATTTATTCAATACTAATGGCTTATTATCTCTGTTATTGTAGTAAGTTAATTTGATTTATATTTACTGTATGTTCTTATAAAAACAAGATTTCTAATACTGGTGTAAATAGCTTTTTATTTACCTTTACATTCACTTCACAAATTTAGTTAATTCAGAGTTCAAACAATAATTTCTATTCTTTAATTTTGGTTAGTTGAGTATAATGACTTTTTTATATATAATGATTCTTACTTATTTTTTTTGTATATTTTTATTTAGAAGTAAGTTCAGCAAACTTTTATTAAGCTATTTAAATGCATTCTTATTTATTAATCAATTTAATTTAGTACAATATTAGGCAAAAATTATTCAAATATTTTTGTTAATATCAGTAGTTTTAAATTTTAAGTGAGTTTAATAAATATTTTAATTTGTTGCTGTAATCAAGTTTAATAATTATTCTTACAAATAAGAAATATTTAAAATTGTGTACAATTATATATAATTTAAATTTTCTATAATGAACTGTTAGTTTGAAATTAAAAAAAGTTTACTATATAATTACTATGTTTTAGTTATAATACTTTTATATCAGTTATAAATTTAAAATTTTGAATGCATTATTTTTAAAGTTCTTATATTCAGAGTTTACTACAATTAAGTTAGAGTTTGAATTTATTTAAGCTTAGAGTTTGCTAAGATTGGTTAGAGTATTGTATATTGTATTTTTTTATATATTTTAGTGAAAACCTGCTAAGTGAATATTAAAATTTATTATTGTAACTGATTTATTACATTATTTTAATATAATAAGTCCACTATAGTAATAAGTTTAATATTCACTTACAGAGTTTTTTCACTTTTTAGTTAATTAAGAAAAATGATGCTGATTGGATAAATGTTATGTAATAGTGCAGATGAATTCCATATACAATCACACTTCTTAATAATTACTATATTTGTGTGCATCTATTTGTGTGATTATAAAGAAGGATGACTGTAATAAAATTTTTCAAAAACTTACCAAAATCTTATTAACTTTTTAAAATATATAAATTAAAATAGTTTATTTATTATAATAAAAAATTATAATATATATTATTTGAAAAAAACTATACTTGTATAAATTGATAGTTTAAAAAGTCTTGTTGATTCTGAGTAGTAGATAGTAAGAGAAGATAAAAAGAACATCAAAAAGATATATATAAATATTTGAATAAATTTTACAAAAATAAAATAGTTAATAGATAACCTTAACTGCAAGTATTAGTTTTGTCTTAGTAAAAGAGAGTATGTTGACTTAGTAAAGTGGTTAAGTTGTCAACTCCTAAGTGATAGGTTGGGAGTTCAAAACCTACTGATAGTGAAAATTTGGAAAACCACATATGTTATATCAGTATTACAAGAGGTAAGTGGTATTACAGCAATAGCATTTTATTGATCAGTTGGAATCAGTATCTGTAATATAGTTGCATCAAATAACTAACAGGTTATAGGGCATCTGTGCAATATTGAAGTTATACAGAGGAATACAAACCAGCATCAGGTGATACAAACCCAAGATAAGTCCTCGTAGCTATGTAAATCTGTGAACTGAGAAACCAGAGCCCACTTGGAAAGACCTGAGTAGAAAAGTAGTACAGATCTTTGACAGTACTACTGTAAAGGCTAAACCTAGAAAATGGATACCAATATGGAAGAAATTGGGTGGGCAAGAACCTCAGGTAAGGGGTACCATTAATCAAGCTGCCAAAAATCTCAAATCAGAAGAAAAAAATCTTGGGGCCAGACCCTGAGGTACCAGGGACAGACATATCCTAACAGACTATTTGTATTAGGAGTCTGAAGTCAGAAACAGAATTATACTATAAATATTAGAGATATGAGATGAAGTTGGTGTTGGAGTTTAGGTAAACTCTGCAAAAATAAGTCCTGTTAACAAGATACTAAATGTGAGTAGTTAGTTAGCAGGAAGGGCCCTGAAAGCCCTACAGTCAGGTAATATACTCTGAAATGTATAATGGCTTGATGAATATACAAGCAAAAATGTTACAGTTAGGTTAGATAGCACTTAGGTATACAGGAACTTGTATGCTATTTGTCAGTATAAGTATAGAGATTTGAGTGTTTAAATAGATAATCTCCTAGTAGATTGTAGATATGACAACTAATGAAGAATCTGTTATGCAGAAAACTACTTAAATTAAACAACCAAAAGTTGTACATGTGACTAGTTGTATACTTACCTTGTACAAGTTATATAAGCATAATTAAATACAAAAAAGACAATAGTCACTAATAACTACAGCCTTAGTGTAAACAAAAAAAAAATTTTGTCTTAGTAAAAACTAAGTTAACTATATATAAAAAAATAAAAGACTTTAAAGTTTATCTTAAAAATAAGTATTCTAAAATTGAGATAAGAATCCAAGTCTAAAAACCTAGTAAAGTTGATACAAGGGTTGCAGATCAGAATGTTTAAATAAAATATTCAAATAAGAGGTTTAGATATGACAAACTAATAAGAAACCTTTAGATGAACTTTTTAAATAAGTAATATAAAAAAGTTATATGTGTAACTAGTTATATGCTAGTCTGTAATAATTTATTATAAACATGTACTCATATTAAACATGTTTGATTAAAGTATTAATAAAGTTAAAAAATTAATGAGATCATCTTAATCTTAAAAAAAACAACATATATTTCATAAAATACATATAACTTATAGGATTAAAAATATAAAATAATTTAAGAAGAATAAAAAATAATATGATAACACTTTTTATAGTGATTTAATAAGAAATAATGATTTTAAAAAAATTTTTAAAAATCATTATAAAAAAATTAATTAGTAATTTTTATTATATTACTTGCTCTATGTTCATAATAAAATACTTTGACATAAGGTACATCTCTATGTTTTATAAATAATTCATAATTCAGAAAACAATTAGTTAATTATGCACTTCAATTTTATTATATTTTTAATAATTAATACTAGAAATTTCTCAACATCATATAAATAATTGAAACAAACTTTATAAATTATTATTATTTATTTTTAATATAATTATCAAAATCAACAAAATTTTCCCATATTAGTTATAATTCCAGTTCAAACTGTTGATCATTTGGCCAAATTTTAAATTATTTAACTTCAAATCTGGTCAAGTAATCAAAAATTTTGACTGGAATTATATCTGATGGGATCTTATATTTTTAGAAAGCAAATTAGAGTTGAAAATAATATTTTACAAACTTACAGTACATGTAATTTTACATAAGCTTCAGTAACATGGATTTCATGTACATTTTACATGCAAAATATAGTACCAGCACTATGAAAAACTCAGCTAGCATTATTTAACTACAGTAGATCCTGTATAAAGTTCACTGAACAAATCTATGTACATATGAGCATATGATTACGTTTCTTACAAATCACATCAAACTATGTTATTGAAAACTTACGCAAAATTTCACAAAATTATGTAAAATTACGATAATCTGACAACCCTACCGCAAATCAGCCGATATAATTACTTATAAATTTAAATTATGGCATATGTAAAACTAAGTGATTAGTCATCTAATTTCTAAAAGTGACAAATAACTAGTGATTAAAGGTGTTCT